ATTTTACTTGTTTTCCAAACCCCCATTTCTTGCACAGTACAAAAAGATCTGGTAAAAAATAACTCCAAACAGTTCAATTTTAAAACTAAATTTCACATAGCACATGTGAATTTAACTCTTTGCTGTCTTCTGCTGAGTTCTGGATGCCACAGCCAAAGTCTGGGAGCCAAAGCAGAGAAATACAGGTACTTGTGTATCACGTAGGCTACTTCTAGAACCTCGAGGCAAAATGCTTTGGGGAAAAATGGATCTATGCCTGGAATGGATTTCTCAAGGGCAAACCTTGGTTAAACAGAGGTGTTTATCTCACAAGACATAACCATAACGCTGCTTCTATCAGGCTCAGCTAGGATTGGGGGATGACAGGTGAGTTGGTACAGGGACTACCTGAGCCCAAGATCTAGAGGAATTCTTTGTCTTCTCTGCCCCATCCTAGCTGTGGTCTTGTCGAACACTGATCTTTACCAAGTAGTACCTCAAGCTAATAAAAAGTTAGTGAGAAAATTTTGTTGGGAGCAGAGGCTAATATTACATTTTGCTTGGCAAAATTGCCATAACTGTGTCTTCTGATAGACCTTTAAATAATCCCTGCATGTCATTCATTTGAGATTTTCATTCATGCTTAGCCCATAATCCATCCAGGGTTGCTCTGGGTTAATATTTGAATTTCTTTCCTGTTCTATTTTATTATATAAAGTCATAAAACATCCAAATTAATAAATGCAGCTTTTCTTCAGCATGTTTGGTGTAACGTAGTACTCTACAATTTCTATGCACAATCTATGAGCATGAATTAACTTCTAGGCCCCTTGTTACTGGACCTGTGACATCATTGAGTCATCCTGACAAAGGCATCCTGTTTCAGAAGAGGTTTTGTTTTCTTCTCAAGGTTTTGCAAAATAACAAGTGTATCCAAAGAAAAGCTAAGTGAAAACATGGCCATCCAAAAAGCAAGATGCTTAAACTGGAGAAGAATATTGGTTTTCTTTCTCTGATATTCCTGTGTTACGTTTTTAAGGACTCAGGTCTAGTATGGGATTATTTTTAAACTGAGATCATAATGTTTTAGCCCAACTGGCTTTGCCTAAGAGTGGCAGGATATCCACACTGTTCTCTTCCTTTATGTTTTGGTATAGGTATAGATATAGGTAGTATTGTTATTATTACTATTACTATTATTAGTGAAAGACTGGATCATGATGATATCCTGCCATCCGTTGTCCAGCAACTCACTCAGATTCCTGAAGAAAAAGATTTTATTTTCTTGCCTAGTTCTGGAAATGTTCATGAATACAAATAACAAATGCAAATGGTACAGGGACAGTGGTATTAGAAATTGAAATGCCCACTGTGTATTTTGTACAAATATATTCATTATGCTAGAAATGCATGATGACTGAGCGGTGGTCCCTGTTGGTCTATGGTGGCTACAGTTGATGGATACAGATTATTAAATTTTATTTTAATAGCAGGTAGTGACAAAGTGTCTCCGTGCTTAACAATGCATCCTAGTATCTGCTACACAAACACATGCAAATGTAGTTTTGTAACAGACAATAAAATCCTATTGCATCTCTTAGGTTGCAGAAGAAGCTGGTACATAAGTCTACAGGCACCTAAGGGTGTGTAAAATAAAGAGAACTGAACACATTTTCAAATGAGTGATCCAAAATGTGCTTCCTCACAAAGTCCAGGTGGTCAGCACCTGGTCTCTGGACCAGGCAGGTTAAATGGATGAATGCAAAGACTCTCTGCCCTTATTCTCAAATGCCAGGAGGCATAGGCTGCTTGCACTGGGTGGCAAGTCTGTCACCGATTCTGGGTATGGCAAACAGAAGACAGTACTTGTGGAGGGTGCTGGGCCAAGGAGCGAGACCCCTGTGAGCCCACCCTGGGCTGTGTGGCTCAGTCAGTGCCTGGGGCCGGAGTTGTGCTGCTCATCAGCTCAGCCAAGGGGGCTGGTGGGGCTGGAATTGAGGCTTTTGTTGCCTCTAAATCTTTCTGCAGTCTCACCTTTCGAAGCCAGTGAAAGAGAAGTGAAGGGGAGAGGATTTGCAAGGTTTGGAAACACTGTGTTGATGATTTGACAATAAATGTTCTTCAATTACAGCTTCTCCCACTCCTCTGACCTTCTGGCCCCAGTGCTCATTATGAACAAGGTCTGAGCTGCTCCGAGTTTGAAGGACTGAGTTAGACTCAGTTTTTGTGCTCTGGCAAACTCCCACTGCCTTCAGGACAAGCTTGATTTAATATAAGGACTAAAATCCTTGGGGTTTGGCCTTAGGAGAGCAGTAAATGCAATCAGCTTCTTTGGTCTGACAGAATGAATAAAGAGAGGCTCCGGGGCGCTCGGCATCAGCAGAGATGGCAGAGATTATGAGGGGAGATCTGGATCATATTACAGGCTCCCAATTCATGGTAACCACTTGTGAAAGAGATGTGGGCATCACCCTGGACAGCACAGGGAAGGGCTCCCCTCTGTATCTTGCAGTTGAAAGTCAAATGAATGGTATCAACTGGGAGAGCAAAATAATGGTGAGACTATTAGAATGACATTATTGTAAAAAACTTACTTTTCCTGAAGTTCTCATTACTCTGACTCGAAAAGGAAATAGCAGGAATTACAGAGCTTACACTGGGATGATGGAAATTTGTGGAGATGTGAAAAGAGAGTGAATGAGGAGAGAGTGAAAAGATTGGTACTATTCAATTTAGATGAAGATAAACAAGAAGAGACATGACCGAGGTACAGCGGGCAACAGATGCTATTGAGAAGGTAAATCCAGAACCACTTTGCCTCTTCTCATGACACTTGAATAAAACAATTGATTAAATGGATAAAATTCACATTTCAGCCAAAAAAAGGAAGATATTTGAACCCATCTTAAAAGACTTATAGCAATCAGCTGCAGTCTAAGCCAAATAGCTGTTGAATCTTGAAAAATAGCTACAGCATTTACAGTCTTTCCTGAGTTACCTTAGGCATGGTGTACCTGGCTTTAGGGGCAGCCAGGCTTCCAGAAGCTCTCAGGCTTCAGGGTCTGACAAAAAGAATAATCCAGAGGCTCTAGGAAATGATTTCTCCTACATACATTAGTTCTGTTTACCTGCCTTGGAATTCTTGCACTGACTCTAAAAACCTGAAGCTTTGGTAGGAGACCCTCTATGCATTAGGCAGATCATTATTTTGAACTGGTGTGGCAGCAGTCTTTATAGAAATTTAATTAAGAAGTAAGCCATTCTGCTTTTAGAATACATGCATATCTAGGTTCGACTCAGAGAAGTTCCAGCAGCGTGTTGCATTATTCCTGGGCAGCTGAGATCAGTGGTGCTCTCCCAGCTCTATGCCAGCCCTGGCCATACCCCACTGCTGCCTACTTTTCTTCCCTAGCATTTTTCAGAACAGCTGTTCTCTGCAATTTGGATCTGCCTTGGGATTTGCACAAAAAAATGCATAGGAGAGGTGGGCTGGAGGAAGGGACAACCACGGAGCCCTTTTTGGTTTGAGTACCTTGTGTCTCAGGAATTTATATGGCTTGGCTCTGTCCCTTGGGTGAGCTGTAATGAATGGTTTAAGCTCACACACTAGGCTTTGTAATTACGATAGGTTAAGAGAAGATATGAGCTATGCTGCTCAGCTAATGAGCAGTAACTTGTTTAGGCAGAGAAACTCTGTCTCCATACTGTCTCTGTACACCCACATCCTGTCCTAGCAGGCCTTTCCATATGAGTAAAACTTCAAGAAACTTAAGTAAAGGTGTGAGCAGACATTTTTCTTATTCTGTTTCACTACGTTAGTACTCATCCACACTGCCTCTTCTTTCATCCAGTATGAAGTAAGGCGAGTCCATAGACCTGATTTTGATCACCTGGACATTGTTGGAGTGAATAGGAATCACAGCTGGAAAGATTTTAGTTAAGATGATCAGTCTTAGAGGGTTATGTCTTTGCAAAAGAGCCAAAATATGAAGAAATAGCTGATTATATATATAGCTCTGAAAGCTGCAGGAAGGAAACATGAGTGAGAGGTCACTTGCTTCTTTGTCTTTTGCAGGAAGGAGTCAGGATTACTGCTAAACTCATTTCATACGCAACCACTCAGGTCTGGGCTAGTTTAAGGGTAAGGAGCTTAAATAGCCTTTTTTTTTCTTTTCAACTCCCCCTCTCTGAACACTACAGAACAAAGTATTTCTCCATAAAGTTACTATTTCATGGCTTGCACAAAGTACCTGGTGAGCAGAGGGTTAGCACTTTACTGCCCAAACTGTGGTAAGCACCAAAGTTTATCTTTGCACTTCTCTTTAGCTAGGCACTGTCTGCTGGAGACACACTGCACATGATGTGGTTATATGGTAAATATAAGTTTTTGAGCTTTATGTGCAGAAAAGAGTGCCAGAGAATGAATTCCTGAAAGAGTTTTTCCCTATTAAGGGAGATTTGTCAGAACTTACTGAAAATATGATCTACTGTGTCCCAGTGGAAAAAAAGGGGCAATTTTATTAAAGTTGTGTTGGTGGGGATTCAGCTCTTTGTTTCTATGATGAGAGGCAGAATTGGCAGTCTCTCTGTGCTGGTAGATGTGCTAGGGCTGTGGCTGGCTGGCAGTGGTCTGGCAGAGCTCTGTGGTGTAGGAGCATCGCTGTGGCGTTTTTGGCATCACTGTGGTTCAGAGGCTTGGCTTTCCCTAGGCCTTTTCTTTAACAGATGACAGGTTTGCCCTTTACGTACCCCAGCTCTAGACTCCCGAGTGAAAAACAAAATCCACAGCAAACTCTGAAGTTTTTCAAGTGAGCCTTTGCTGTTTCTGCAGAAGGTTCCCAATGTGAAAATGTCACTGCTTTGTGTGCTGCAGCTGAAGGGTCTTTAGGGCTGCACCGGCTTTCTCAGGACTCTCTGACGGTATTTGACTGGAGTGATGCCCCAGACAATTTTCTGAAAAAGTTCAAAACCGATTTTTTTGTTTTTCTTAAGCATTTATTACTTTCATTTGGGTCCATGCTCTCAGCAGGCTTGCAGAGGAAGACCAGATTCAGAAACAGCTTGGTGCTGGCTTTTTTTGCAAGCTGGTGTTGCAATTGAAGCAGGGACCTCCTGAAAACTCAGTCCTACAACCCACAGTATTTATTGCTTGGGCTCTCCATCTGTAGTGATCTGGGAATGAGAGGGCAGAAATAATGATGATCAATACAGTTTGGGCTTTTATGTATAAGGATGTAGTGTTAGATTGGCAATGGGATTGGTAGGTGTCAGCCTTAGGCCACACCTGCAACACTGCGTGAAATCCCGGGAACAGCATCCTTAGGAAAATATTGACAAACTGCTGAGAAAGTGAGAGGAGCAACGAAGCAATCAGAGCAGAAGGGACCAAATGATGAGAAAGGATTAAAAAAAAGCTAAGTGCCATATCTATGACTTTGCTAGAGGATGATTGATGGGAAACATAGATAAGTTTGAAAGGAGCCTGAATTAAAAAAAAAAAAAAGAGTGAGAGAATAGTTAGGACAGTACACGAAGATATAACTAAGAATGATGGGGTGAAATTAAGCAAGAGAAAATTTAAGGTGAATCTTAGGAAAAAAATCATTACTGAAATATATTAGGCTGCTGAGCGAGTGTCCATGGGGAGCAGTGCAAACTGCTGCCTGTATATTGTTTAGCCTGGGCAAAATGTTGGCAGGCATGCAGCCAAGGAAGCTGCAGGAGCAGGAAACTGAAGCATATGTACTTTTATCAGTGCTTTTACAGTTTCATGTGTATCATCTACAGGTGTAATTTGGTTAAAACTATTGCATCAAGCATCTTTGAGAACTCCTCCCTGCTGAAATTGGTGAAAGCAAAATGCATAAATACCTAATGCAGAAGGGCTTGATACCCATTATGGGTGAGGATGGCAACAGCAACGTGTCTTGTACCTAAATGTTGGTGCATCACCCGAACCAGTCCTGAGCAGAGCAGTGTGAGCCTGGGCAGGACGCAGGGCATGCTCTGCTGTGCTGTGCCCTGGCAGTGGCACCCATCAAGGCATCTCCACAGCTCAGCTGTCTGGGCAGCCTGGACCACTGGGGCTGGCCACTCCCCAGCCCCTGCAGCCCACAGGTGCAGTGCCCTGGAGATGCATTGCTTTGGCTTTGGACACAGAGGAGTTTTCCAGGAAACAGCCACCGTTTCAATTCAACCAGGCAGAAGGAAAGCCTTCCTCCTCAGCTGGTGTGCCTGTCTGTGAAAACTCCGTGTCCACTGGTGCTTACCTGGCATGTGGGATCCTAAACCCTTCCCTGGAAGAGAGGCTGAGGGTGGCATCTTGTCCTTCATGAGAGTTCCTAATTGAAGGAGGGCTTTGAGTGCAGGAACTTTGCATATTTTGCTAAGAAATTCCTCTGTTTTGTGGAAAACTTTATCGGGTTAAAGAGTGGCAAGAATGAACCCAAATAGTCCATGGACAAGCCCCTGCTGGGAGCAGTGAAACCTGAGTTTCATTCCCTGCTTTGGTGATATCTTTAAGAAGTAAGGCTACTGTTTGCATTTTGTGCATGACTTTCATCTTCTGGGTCTGCTGCAACCTCAGGGCTTAAACAGAAGAAAAACTTGTTTGTGGATCACAAAAAACAATAGGAAGGGACAGGCTGTAGGTTTGTCAAAATTGTCAGGACCTGTTTGGAAACAGACACTTAGGTACATGTCAAAAATCAGTGTTGAACAATGGAAGACATCTGAGGATTTTGGGTGGCTTTAGAGATAGCTGGTGGCTTGATGGCAATATGAGGACTTCAGCTTTCCTAAAGGTGAGATAAGCAAGTACTCAGTAAAAACACAAAGTCGTGAGAGTCTGGGTATCCAGAAGTCCTGCTGGTGATGAGATGGCATATTTCTTTGTCATGTGGGGCTTCTGCAGCACTCACTTGGCATCTGTGAAGAAGAAAAATAGAAAATAAGCCTTGAAGGAAGCAAACCCAACTGTTTACCTCTCTTTGTTCCATAATGTTTCTTACTGTTTTCAGAGTGCTGGCTCTGTTTCATAACAATTTGAAATAGTTTTGAGGTATTTTTTTCCTGTATTGTTGCCCTTTGCCTTTTATTCTGTATATTCACTACTCCCTATCTAAAGAAATTCTGACTAAATTCCTTGAGGGTCTGACCCTTCCCTTAGCTTTAGTTTATGCTCCCTTGTTCTTGTGTTTGACATAAGCTCAAACAGCCTTGTAAAATCTCATTTCTCTTCCCTTCAGGGTTGTATATTCTTCTATGAAATATTTTCCCCACCCTCCTCTATCCTGCCTCTTCCTAGAAAATGGCTTCTATTTTGGTAACTGTTTTGTTCAGTTAGTTGTTCGAGTTCTGGATTCTTTTGTCACTCAATCCATTACCGTCTCCATTCCATGTTGTTGTTCTACACTGAGTTTTAGTTATAGCATAATTTAGTTTAGTTATAGTCACCTTTTTTTTCGTTTGTTAATCCAGCACTCCATATTATTTCCTTTACATTCTCCTAATTTTTCTCTTCAACAGGGCTCTTCAGTACAGGGCTTAGCAAAAACTGTAGGCTGATTGCATCATATTTTCTTTTCAGAAAGGTGTGCTCTGGTCTAGGTTTGTTGCTGCTCACCATGGAAGATGCAGTATGCTTACTTCAGCACAGTGGTCTTACACAAAATCCTGAGTTACAAGAACCATACATGGAAATAGGCAACTAACTTTTGTAAAATCTCCTTGGCTCTGCCTTTTTATTTGTCAATAATTTTAATTTTGAGCCTGTACATTAAGCGAGTACTGCAAACTACCCTATTGTCTATAATATTATACAAATTACAATAAAGACCTGTTTTAAAAATAAACACTGCTAAATAGAACACTGCTGAATCCAGATGAACACATTGCTGCAGATAGCTTAAAATGAAGAGGAATTTGGCAAGAAGAATGCTGATTAAGAAGGGAATGAAAATTCGCAGTGAAATGTGTTTGCTGGTCATACAGGGGAGCTGAAAGCTCCTGCAACACACGTCTCAAACAGCTCACGCTGCTTTTTAGAACACAATTTTCCAGTTTCTTTTCCCTGGAGTGTGCCATTAGCTTTGGTCTTCCATTAACTTCCTTTGTAACTTCTTAAAAGAACTCTCTAGAGATGAACATGTCTCTGGAGGACAAATACCAGCTTGAAGAAATTGAACAAATGAGTGATTTTGGAGTGAAAGAATTTTTCTGTTTGTCTTTTTTATTTTAACTTCAGTCAGGGAATAGAAAATCTGCTATCTTATTTTTTCTGAAATATGGAACAGGTATCAATCTCAAAACCCCATGATTGTTTTACATGCTGCACTGACCAGGAATTGAAAGGAACCAATTATAAGCTCTATCAGCCTCGGTATTTGAGATGGATGCTAGTTCTAAAATGGAATCTTTTATTCTGCAATTCTGACTGTGAACTTTACATGTTTCCTAGCCTTTGAGCTGTCTGCAGAATTTTCTCAAAATTAAATGCAAACTTCAGCACAGGCTTTTTTTCCAGACATGAATATCTCCAGGAATAAACTTTACAAATAATGTAGCCCACATCTTAAATGATTCTTTTCCTTTATCCAAAGGAAGTACAGCTAGAGACAGAGCAAAACCATTTCATCTCTGCAAGCAATACTTCCCAAGAATTGTACAACATTTTCTAGCAAACACTGTCAGTGTTCAGACTCCTACAGTATTTAGAAAATAGTTAAAATAAAAAAAATTGTTGTCATCTGGAATGTATCACAATATTTTGTATCTTGAGCAAAGTTACGACTTCCAGGGTTCCTGTTGGCACAGCTCAAACATAGTTTTCTGAAAAGATAATGATGCTTTAGTGTGATTTGGTTCAGGACAGCTTTGCCTGAGCCAGCTCTGTGGCAGTTCCTTAGTGCATTCCTGGGCTTGTTCCTACAAAGGTGTGTGCCCTGCTTTGGGAGCAAAAGACTTCATGTCTGGTCCTTGTGGTTGGCACAGGGAGCCTTGGTCCTCCAGCTGACTGCTGGGGGCTGGTTTGTTTTATTGCTCGAGGCCAGGGCTTTCCCTGTGGCATTCCACAGGAGCCTGCTCTGCTGCAGTGCCTACCCCAGAGCCTGCACAGAGCCAGCCCTGCCTCCCTGCAGCAAATTACTCGGTGCTCCCGTGCAGCCAGTGCAGCACACCGCTGCTGCAGGGGGGCTGAGGAGCTCCTGCTCACCTCCTGCTCCACCAGGAGCCACTGCTCAGCACCCATGTCTCACTCCAAAATACACACAGATGTATTTATACACACCTATGCACGTGTGCATGATTGCTTTTGATCTCCTTCATGAGACAGACACTCCAGGATGTGGGTCCTGGCCAGTTCAGGGCTCCTCAGGACCTGTAGGCACAAAGTGATGTGAGTGAGGCTCACCTCAGATTTAGGGGACGTCCCAGGAGATCACAGGGAAGTGCCCTTGCTCTCTCCAGAACCCAAGTTATATGGCCAAATACTGTGAAAACTCCTTTGCTTCCTGACTTCTGTTTCTATGGTATGCTGTGATGATGTGAGGATATGCTAGGGTGTCATAGAGCATAGGGCCTGCCAAAAGGATGATGGAGAACTGTGTTCATATCCTCCATCAGTAAAGTTGTCTCTTCTTTATCTGGGTGGCTTTACATAACAGAGTAGGAGAAAATTAACACACAATCATCGTCTTTCCAAATCAGTTGGTTCCCAAATTGCTGAGTTGAGAATGGTGGTGGTTTGTGAGGTCATGAACATGTTCTGTGGCACAGGACATTCTCCTCCCTTTACCTCTCAATGTAAGAAATAGGAACCCAAGCAGACACAGTAGTTAGTAGGATTAAAGGCAAACTGATAGCATTTCTAGCTGAGTATAACATGATTTATTTCATATAAAAGAAGTTTCCATGACCAAGAAACTTTTTCTTCAAATTCTACTTTTCATATACTTTTGTTTAAAGAGAAAAGGATTTTGTTTTATTTTACAGCTAGCCAATACACAGACAAAAAGGAGTTTGACATTCAATAGAAACCATTTGGTTGAAAAAGAAATTGTAAAGAAATTCTATGTCTCCAAGTAAAATTGTCTCTGTGTAAGCCATCTGTGGGTGACAAGAAGATTTATCTTCCTGAATATTTCATCCCAAATATATATTTCATCCTGAATATCAGGATGATCATTGCTGTCTAGTTTTGCAGGAAAGAGTGTATTTATTATTTTTTAATTCATGTATGGAAATCAGGACCATACTATCTAGGATCAAGCACTAAAAAGTTTCCCATAAAAATAGCCATAGTGATGAACAAGGCTGTTGTTAGTGGGTTTTTGCTTTGCTATTTGCAAATCATCCAGTACATGGAGATACCAAACAAAGCTAATTACCTAGGCATTGTAAGTTTACGTTTCCAGCTGCATGCTGGGTGGCCTCAGCAAACATCCCCCTCTTGATGGGAGGGATATCTCCTTCCTGCATGGTGCACGTTGGCTTCATTGTTTGATGAAGGCAAAATTTAGCTTTGGGGTAAAGAGATGCAATGATGGTTGTGACTATGACCAGGGTGCTATCATGGCTGTACAGAAAAGATAGACCTAGCATGTTTCCCACATCCTCTAGGCCCTTTCAGCACTTCAAAGAAAACAGATGCAAATATGATGGCTTTCATGTAAGGCTTTTCTTTCGTATTGCAGCTGGATTTTGTGCTTTTATACTGTGTACACCACATTAGAGTCCTCTGCGTTCCACAATAATAATTTTTGTCTTTATCACTGTGCAGCTATCACATAATCTAGGAGCTTAGCTGAGCTCTTGCAATAGGTTATATTTTATTGGCAATCAAACCTAAATCTTGGCGTTGTGGCAGGAGCTGATCTTTGCCTTGCAGTTTATTGGGCAATATTCAAGTTGTTCGTACAGCTGTGTAGGTATTTTGGACACTTTACAGACAGATATAACACCAGGCTCTGCCCCAAGGAATTTACACTCAAAATTCAAGGTGGCAGAGGAGCAGAAGAGAAAGCAGATGATGTCTGAAAGGAAGACTGAGAGTAAATCATCAGCCTGTAGAGCAACATTAATGTCAGCATTCTGAATATTGAAGTCACCAGAAAGAAGCTGCTCCTTTTGCAGATTGTGTTCTTCTTTTCTCATTAAATATTCATCTTTGCAGTGATGCTAATGTGTAAGCACTATGAGACCATGTAGGTAGCAGTTGCTGGAGGTCTAAAGTCACAGGTCAGTGTACTAATCACAGCATGCTGCACCAGCCAAGCAGCCACGGGGTACCAGGCACAAGGCAGCAGCCCTGCCCTGAGCATGCTGCTACCACATTGCTTCCACACAGCAAAATTCATCGCAGGACGCCATGCCAAACCTTCGGTCAACGCGCTGTACAAAATAGTTTTCTCTCTGTCACCAAACAATTTTAAGGATACAGTCCAGCACAGTAGGGCTGTAATCTTGTTTATTCTTTGCAGACACTACAAGGCTCTCTTAAAGCCTTAGAGATCATCACACCCTTGTTATCTTAGCAGGTATTCGCCTTGTAATCTTCCTGTACTAATTGTTGAGAAAATGTGCTTGGTAGTCTACACCGGCAGAATCCCAATTGCCGAGGTAATTAATAGTGTTACAGACTTCAAGGCCATAATGCTCATCAGTTATTAATTAGCAATTCATTTTGCTGAATAAATAATACTTATGATTGATGATGGAACTTGTAATTGGGCACTAGTAGTGCTCCTCAAGGGAACAGCTTCTCTGCCAGTATTGACTATGACAGTAAGAGCTCAGAAACCCGGGATCATTTAAGAAAATCTACTCTAAACAACCGTGACACAATGAAGGCATTTACATTCAAGGTTGTTGGAAACATAGAACTTAAACATTGAAGACTTGCCTATGCCAGCCAAATGCTACTATTTTTGTCTATTTTTCTCATATGTTCCTTCACTTTCAGCATTGCCTCCTTATAAGGAAATTTTCTATATAATTTAATGGCATGCATTACATTGTCTTTACGAGATTTCATATGCATTCTTCACAAATTCAGAAGATAGTATAATAAAGAAAATACTTCCTCAAGTAGAATAACCAATTTGAAAGAACTTTGTTCATATTAAATCTATTTCAGATTAATAGATTGTGGAAATCACTTTTATTTTATATGAGTTGGCACTACATTTTGACATAAATGAAATAGAACTTACAACCTCCACCCCCATGATGGAAGGAGAAGCTGGTAAATAAGCAATAAGCTGTTAGTTTTAACTGGTTAGTCAACAAAGACGAGTATGGGAGGTCAGCTGCTGACCAGATGCTGCCTTCAATTAATATTCCAACCCTAAAAGACATTTATCGTTCAGTTTAGAAGGCAGAGCAGCTGAGTCATAAAAGCAGCCCACAAAAGATATTTTAAAGCATTTATAATGACTAAATTGCTTGAAATAAATTAGCCCTGAAAATAAACATATTCTGTACAGCCTATGTAAACCAAATTTCTTCTCCCTGTAAATTGCTTGGACTAAGTGGGAGTTTGTGTTTGACAAGAGCATACATTTGCTTCATTACTACATGCAGGTTATTTTTTTTTTTCCCCTTTGAAAAGGGTTAATAAACTATAAGATATCATTGCTAAGTAAATGAGTCCTGCACCCTTTTAAGGGAGGAAGATGCTGCTGAAGAACAAGTTAAAAAGAAACGCAGAGCCTGTGTTGTAATGCTAACAGGCAATTAACAAACTCATGGGTGTTAATTATCTTCATACTGTATCATGTTCAATTAGCTCAGCCCCTGCAATAAAGGCAACCATGAGCAATTGCTTTGATAGGCGTACAGTACTTCATTTGTAGTTAATCGGTTTAAGCCTTGCAGTTGCTAGGCTACACCAGTCTCCAGAGGTAAAAAGCTGCACAGATGCACTATGTTTAAATGACTACAGAGAACTGTTTAAACTCAAACCATGTATAACTCTTTATTGATTTTTCAGAGAAGATCTCAGCTCTGATGATAAGGTTTTGATATATTTTCCTGCTACAGCCGGTTCCTTGGAGTATTGCAGAAAAAAATCTGTCAATATGCTTCTATTATGATCTCTTGATCTGTGGCTATAAAAACCTTTAGCTGCAGCCCTTATTATAAAATAATGGAAGAAGCGATATTTGATTTTTTCCCCTTTTTTTCATCCTCCCACTCTATAATACATGGAGATTTTTTTTCCCCAGCGCCACTAGAACAAAATTAAAGTATGTTCCTTCTGTATTTCTGTATTAGAATAATACAGAAGAATTTCTATCACTAATTAATTTGATTGACTCTCAGCAGGAAAGGATCAGCTGTAGCATCATGAACTTTAACAATAACTACCAACTGATGGGCATTTCACATCAATAAGACCATCACTAGCCTCCCTCACCTGTCACCAGGCAGGGAATGAGCAATAACCACCCCCTGCAGATGCACTGCTTAGCTCTTTCTGCCCGATTAACAATTTATAATGGTGATCAAGAAACAGTCAGCGGCAAATCAAGACAACTGTCTGACTGCCTGTTTAATTGGCCTTGTTTGCTTTTTGATAAATGGCTCATGACTGCTATAGGCCTCCGTATTTTGACTTTTAATAGGCCACTGTGATTAGACTACCAACAGATACTAGGTCAAAGCTGAGGGAAGGTGCAAAAAATGTTAATTAATATCAATAATAGGCAATTATTAGTTAGACAGAAGGACCTACTAGCTGCGTGCTCTAATGACTCAGAGCTAACTTGAAGGGAAACAGTGCCAAATTAGCATAACTGTGTATGCAGGCTGCATTGTGGATCCTAGCAAACATCTGTTATGTAATTCAAACAGGATTCTTCCTTTTTGCATGGTGCTCACAAAATTATCAATTCTTTTCAGTCATTTCAAACACTAATGATACCGTGGAGGTTACTGACCTCACAGTTGGGTTTTGTGTCCATCCTTCGTATCAAGAGCTAAATTGCAAAAGTTAATATTTTAGGTGTGGTTTTCTAGATCTCTAAATTAGTAACTTCCATATAAAGGTCACCAATACTCTAATAGGAGGAACACATGCTGAGCAATCATGTTAGTCCAAGTGTTGCCCTCACTACAAATAACTTTTCCCTCACTTTGTCTCTTTTAGGAAAACAAGCACGCAAAACAATAATGAACACTTAAATATTTGTGCGTCTGCTATTTTTGACCTGCCAAATGGACATGATGCAATGCAATGGCATATGATGAGAGAGTCAAAATTCCTACATATGGGGGAGGCACAAAGAAGAAAAGCAGCTCCTTTGACTCTCTGATGGGTGTACCTTTCTATGGTGGTTCGAGGATGCTGGGTGTGTCACCTCCATTGCAAACACGAAACAGACAAGGCACAGCCAAGGGCAGAGGAAGCACTTAATCTACAAGAAGTGTTTTTATAGAAGGGTAATGGCCCTAGGTTTTAGGGGATCTTCTATTCTTGCAAGCTTAAACTCTAAGAGAGATGAACTCTTAGGATGTAGAGGTTAGAGGAGACTTAGTTGAGAGTGAAATATCTTTTAAGTAGTTTAGGTATTTTTTTCTTCACTAAAATGTTCAGAAATCCTTTACAGTAAAGAGTTAGTGACAATCAAGCTCTTATATAGCTTTACTTTGGGTGTTTCTGAGGCAACTGTAGTGCCACTATTATGGCTGTGACACTGATGGGAATTTGGTTGTGGCTGAAGAAGACACATCGACGAAAACAGAATCGAGGACTCATTATCAAGCCCTAAAGAAACATCTGTGACTGAAGGCTCAGGGAAGTGCTGCAGTCTCTGTAG